CCGAATTTACTACTCACGCGCATCATTCACTTTTTATGACTATGCAAGAACCTACTATTTCTGCAAACGGAAAATCGGTCCGGAAATTCCTCAGTGGCGCGAAAGAAATTAATTTTCTGGAATGAAACAAGTATTTTTAGAAATTCATTTATCCATTGCAGAAACAATATGAACCCCGGTAATCAAAAACGAAAAGCAATGAAAAAAACTTATTCAGCGATATTAAAATAAAATTTAACAATAAGTTCACTTTCACACCGAACATCATTCTCCCTGCTTTCGATCCTCTACTGCAATGAAACACATCAGCGAGCACTCTTACGCGGATGAGTTTACGTTTGGCCGGTGCCACAAAGTCCACTGCAATCAGAATTCTCTACAAACTGAGAAGTTTTCAGGAAAAATACTTATGTAGTTTTCCAAATTGTGACTTAAAGGGAGCAATCACTATGAAAAATAATGCTGTTGCGAGCGATTGAAGTGTTGAAACAGGAACTTGCTCGAGCAATGCAAAACAGTCTATTGGGATCGTAACCTTCAACCTTCGGATGCGCACTCTCTATGACGATCAGGGACTGATCCTTCGATTCGGGATTCAAAACGTTTCATCTGTGTGAACAAACTTTGTGTGCGCTTGCCCGCCACTATTGGTAAGCCCAGCTGATCTCGAACTTCGGCTCGAGTTCGTCCCAACAGTTCGGTCCCAAACCGACGCAAAGTTTCTTATGGTCATGAGTTTGGAATAAACTGATTTGCCTAATCCGACTCAATTTTCCGAGCGTAAACTTTGGAGACGTAAGATGTGAACGATTTTTGTGATGGATTGTTCCTAGATTTGTAAGTATGATTAATAACTGGAAATAGGGTGTTGATTCAGAATCATTTTTATTTCTTAGCTTGTAGAGAATCCAATTCTCTTTCCAATGAACACTGACTGACAAATAAACGATTCAAGCAGTAAGTAAAACTGCCAGAATGTATTCACCTTCTTACTCTTCAATTCGTTGCTCGTTTATCTTTTTGTTGTTTAATACAGCTGTTATTCAATTTTTACTTTCGGCATCATTTTATCACCCAATAATAATGTTATTATCAATCTTCTTCTTCTTAATCATTCGATAAAGCACTTTAATTATCCTGGTCTTAAAAGAGCAGATTCATTAGTGATTCAGTCATTCAATTATTCTGTGTTATCTTTGTAATCTTATGGATCGCCTTGTCTTCACATTGCGACTTAATATGTTGCGCTTTTGGAAAGTAATTTTTAACGCACATCCATAATGTTATTTGTTGGGATTGATATGTGAACTTTGACGTGCTGCTTTAATCGTTCTTCATCAATGAATTCAGTACCGCATGTGTACAGGACAGGCAAGTGCACGACAGGAGGAATGCTCACATTGAGTGTTTTGGAATTCAAAAACTATTTTCGACATATTACGTGGTTGTGTGCATATGGAAAATGTCGCAGGAGAAAAGTGATAGTTTAGTATATAAAAGTAATAAGCGGGTCAATTTTATATGAGATTGCTTGCAAATATGTCTCTCAAGTACTTATACGGCGAACGAGTGGAGCTTCTTATGACCAGCTTTTGCCTATTGAAGTATGGAAATATGATCGATTTCAGAAGGGTTATGAAATTAATGTTCATTCGGCTGTAATTCAAAGAGAAAAACTGATCTCAAATGAATGTAGATTGCCTAGCGATTTCTTCTGTAGTTGTTGGTGTACTGCTAAAGTAAGACGACAAAAATTTTGATTCACCGAAGTAGTGATGTTTCTATTACGATCAAACTACAGTATTCCCACATCTTTTTCTGTTCCACAAAAGTGTGGAACAGAAAGAGGATACATAGATCACTTCACTGAAGCAAGAGGATATTCTCAAAGATCAATTTTTAACCATAGCCATGTGACTGAATTGCATAATTAGATATTAAATTAGCAATCGCTTCTTCGATGAGCTAAAACTGTAAGAATGACATGGAATTGGTGTAATTCGTCATTGCTAAAATAGTTGTATTTGCTATGTGTTCGACGAAGTGCGCTTGCTTGGCCTCGTACTGCGTTGCAGTTGTCACTTATTTCAGTAATGTGCTTCGATGACAAGAAAGGAACGCTTGAAAAGCACAAAGAAATGATGGCACATAAAGAACGAGAACATCGCATTAAATTAGCGATGCAATGAACAGACTTAGACGCACAACAGATGGCTGAGTACGTTAAAAATTGTTCATGATCAGTTAAATTTGATAGTTGTCAATACTATTAGATGTTTTTGCTCAATTTCTTGAAACGTTTTCGAAACATTTGAAGAACAGTTAACCCAGTTCTATTGTTGTCCTATCTAGCCTTAATTTTGACGGGCACTTGAACATTCATACGATTACTCTCTCACGCAACGGTTCCAGTAATCTGTGAGTAGTTTTTGTGCCTTATTGATATCACTTACGAAATACGTCTCATTACGCATTTGTTATCAAATTAGGCAACAGAATGCGTGATTAAAAAGCCAAACAATATTTTCCTCATGATTAATCGTAGTAATGACGACATCGTTTTAATTACTGACTGTTGGATGTGTGGAATATTTTTATTATGATTCGAGTGATGAATTCGCACTTTTTGGCACTATTCGGAGAAGGAGTAAATATTAGACAGTGCTTGTTATATGGTCATTGCTATTGCTGAAGATGTTTTATCTGCTAATTCTAGACGAGCAAATGGAATTATTGAGCCAATCCCCTTGTCATATCAATAGCGCAACAAAAACTGAGATTGGAATATTAACTTGTTAAATATTTCATTTCACTCTCTGAAAGTTTCCTCAGCGTCACAATATTTGCTCGCAATTTTATTCTTTCTGTAATGAAACTCTTAATAAAATAAGTTTGCGAATTTGAAGAAGTATTGTTGAGGAAAAATAGAGCATTAAACAAGTGAAGACAGATACAAATTAAATTTGATATGGGCTGAAAAGGATGAATGGGTTGTTGAAATGATTCAGTAACTTCGCATCTCATAATCGTGGAACGACGGTCTAAATTTTTGACTTGGTTTAGTTGATTATGTTTTGAGATTGACGAAAAGAAGTGAAGTGATAACGGCTCTGAATACTGAATAAGAAGAATTTATGTGTAGTGTGCTATGAAAATAGGATTACGGAATTAGAAGTAGTGGATAAGGGTGAATGGGTAGGCGAATGCGAGAAGTTGTGAGTAGTGGAGGTGAAAGTGTGCTTGAGGCGAACTGGTCAGACAAATGATCTGAAGAATGAGGTGATAGTGCGGGAACGCGTCGGTTCTTATAAGCCGAATCAGTGTTAGAAGAGTGAAGATGAAAAGTGAATTAGGCGAACAAGAGAGGGTGTAGGGGTCTGTTTTGGGCTGTTAACAAGGCTGCTGTTCGTTCGGATGCTGCTGTTCGCTTGAAGCGATAACAGCTTCTGAGTGCCCTAAATCAATTCGATTCGATCATGGATAGACACAGCCCAACTTGTGCTGCATCCATCAGCCTAGCGTTGCATAAGTGACACTGCGCAGCGATGTTATACAGTCACGTCACATTACTGATGCTGAGAGTTGTCGATGTCGTCGCCAAAACCACCGTGCAACAATCTGCCCGAATGCTTGTTGCTGATGTGCCTGGAGATGTACAGGTACCTCATACCTCTGCAATTCGTTCTGCTCTACACTATATCACATCTTCTTTGTTTAACCCAATTACTTCTGTCTCTTCTGGAAATCATTTTTACTGCTTATCAATATGATCATTAAGCTGCTCGTTTCAAATTGACCGTTTGTGATTTAGGCCAATGTGAAAATATCGGTATTGATGATAAAATTGATGTTATTACCATTTTGTCAGAGCGGTAATCAAATTCCCATTATTAAGGTTTTTTGAGGTGGAATTGTCATTTTGATATGCTCTTACGAGTTGACGATGAAGCTGGTTCTATGACTGTATGAATGATTATCAAATAGATTTTTTTTTGGTTTCTACATCTGCTTGAGAATGAACTGGTTGGGGTTCAGTTGCGTTACACACTGGCACTGAATTTTTCAGATTGGAGCGTTGTTTCCTTTACATCATCAAATTGCGGGTACGGAAGGATGTGGGCAAATCTGGGAACAATACGGAATTCAAAGAACTGAGATTGCTTTGAGCACTATTGCTGAACTCAACAACTATCTTCCGTTCAAACTTGGTATCAGCATAAGGTATGATCTACGGTGAACGCAATTCACTCTCATTAGAAGCAAGTTTTTGAGAGTGTTGCATTGACTAAAGCGTTAGCGTTAATGAGCTTCATACAGATCAGCCCGGAAATCACAAGTGAATGATACGATCAAGAGTCACGAATCATTTTCGTTGCCATAATTTATTAAAGGCACAAACTATTCTATTAGCTCTTGGATTTCGTTCTAAAGTTAGATGCTGTGTTCTGTTACACACCTGCTTGCGCGATTCGATTTGGTGCAAGTCCTATTAATGTCCTCATAATTATCATTTTGAACAGAATAATAAGCTTGGTTAGCTTGATTGAGACACTATTTGCTAACTACTGCGAGCTGAAAAACGTTAGGAAATGGAAATGTTCTCCGCTAAGAATGTTGAAAAAAAAATTTTCAATGGCGGTTTAATATGATAGTGAAGGATATTCTGAGTGCAATCAAGAAAAAAATGTCAATTTTGTTGAAGTTAAACGAATCCAATTTAAAGAGATTCGTGCTGGACAGAGCGCATAGCAATGGAGCAAACGATAGCGTTTCTTCGAGAGGGTGTTGCTCAGTGCTCCTGCTGCCAAACACCTGGTTGCCAGAAAAAAACATCGCCGGTTGTTGCAATAGTCGGTCCAGCGAAAAGCTCCACAACGATTGTTGTACAAAACCTTCTACAAGTTTTCAAAATACCTCAGATAGGTGACGAAATCATTGGCGTTTAATTGATTGGCGGTTGCTAGTACATTATTGAGAAGAGCTAAACTGACGGTATCTTTGTCATAGGGTGTTGCTGTTCAGGTTATGGTGCAACAACAACAGATTTATCGGACAAAGAACAGTTTGGTTATTTCATGAGAGTTGTGCCATCGGACGCTTGGCAAGCTAAAACGATCGTTACAATGTTAGCACACTTCAGATGGACATACGTGGCTGTTGTTTATTCAGCTGGTACAATTATTCACGAACTCTCTTTGAATTCTTTTTCTTTTTCGTTTCGTAGACTAGGAGATATCAATGAGGTACTTAGCATCCACACTAAACGCCATATTTTAGCCAAATTTGCCGTGTCAGGTGAGAAAAATAAAAATTTTAAATTCTAGAATCTCCTCATTATGGACGTTTTTTGCCGCCGTCTTGTATAGATCGTCTGAGCATCTTTTTTTTTCGTTTTTGAAGAATTGGATTGTTAAGAAGAATACTGCTTGAGGAAATTATGGCGAAAAGGGGTTCGAGGAACTGGAGCGACTGAAGTCGGATGATGTTTGTATAGCTTATTCAGAGAAAGTGAAAAGTCTTGCAGAACCGGCTGAATTCGATAAAATCTTGAATTCACTCAGGTGAATTTTATGGTCTCAAACAATTTTTCTTCAAGCGATACGATAGTTTCAGTATAAACGCTAAAAAATCTTTACTGAATCATTGAAAGGTATTTGCGAACAAAAATACTTGATGACATATTAGAGTTATGCTGTGAGATTAGTGTGAATGATGCTTTTAACCAGATGCACGGACGGCTAGATGGAGTGAAGCACATAGATAATATTTGGGCTATATAAGTATGTCGTCATCAACTAAATTGTGCCATATTCACAAAATTAAATTTATTCGAGATCAGCCAATATGTCGTCGACAGAGGAGGACCAATCAATCCAAAAACGCTTTGTTGCCGCTTTCCTTCATTGACCGTCATTCTATCCGTCTAGAGCGTTTTCAACGCACACATATAGCAGCGTTTCATAGATACACGACAAATGCTCTTCAAAGAAAGGAACAAATGATGTTTTTTTCAACGAGTACTCATACATATATATGTAAATAGAAGTCAAAAGTCACGTCCGCAAGTTGTGGTGTGCTTTTGTGAAGGACGCACCATGCATGAGATGTTCAAAGCGCAGAAACGATTACGTCTTCTTGATCCCACAATGGAACCATTCCAATGGATTGGTAGTGATGGCTGGGCTGATCGATTGGATGTCGTCGACGGAGTGGAACATGAAGCGGCTGGTAGCTTCTCAATAAGGTCATCTTTGTCATCTACTCTAACAGTATAAGAGATTAACACATGACATTAAATTTCATGATGCTTTGTCTTGGTAAGAGGGTGTCACGAAATAATTGTTCCTTAAGTCAGTGTTTCGCCACTTAGCTAGGAGATATTCAGTCATAGACACGCTACTGAGAAAAAGTAGTTCCGCTGATCGCTAACGCGCTACAAAAATATTGTTGTTCCACTAAAAATATAACGCTAGTGTGAGGCTGACGAAAAAGTAGCGAATTTTTTTGTTAAAACTTCCACCAGTCCTAAAAAATAGCGTTAATGTTCGTTAAAACGCTACTTAGCAAAATTAATCCGATAATCGCTGCTTTCAAATCTTTTCTCAAAATTTGCAAACGCACTGCTGATATTTCCGGGAAAAATCTCATCACACCATTGGGCAGTCAGCAATTTTTATTGAATAATTCAACAACAGACAATCATTCCAACAATAGGCACCAGTCAATAATAAAAACAAAGTTCAGCAATAAAAATATAACCAAATGATAACAACGAAATTCAAAGATGAAAAATAATCAGTTGACAGCAACCCACATTGCACCTTCTCAGTTCCTTTCAAGAATATTGCGTTTGCGAGTCTGAATCGGTTGGATATTATTATATCCTAAACTATCAAGAACAGAAATGAAGAAAACTTTATTGCACTGTCACGCAACTTATTTAAATTCCCAGAATTTAGTGAGTTCGGACGAAATTTTTGCGATGCACTTATAGAAAGTATTTGAGGTATAATTGGATATTGAACTTTAACCCGTTAGGACGAGTTCGAGTACGATGAATTCGAGTTGAGCACTTGCCGGTGCCGGGATGTAAATATCTGTTTTAAATATCTTGATGTTCGAAAAATAAGTAATTCCTTACAGACAAAAAGTAGCGAGTTAGCGGAACACTCACAAAAAACTAACTTACTAAAATACTAACCAAAGAAAATGATGCATTTTTTCACTACTTTATGCTGCTAAAAAATTATTGTGACGGAAGCTATCGCTACAAACATCCACTGTATAAAAAAATAGCACGCTATTGTCCACCTCTAGAAATACATTTTTCCATTCGAGATAACAACTGAGCACTGCAACTCCAGAATGTGGTTATGAAGGCTGAATGCAAGTGAAATGACATTGATCAAGTATAAATTTTTAAAGTGATATTTTCAGATGCTTCAGGATTTTCTTCAGTTAAGCCATCGACTGTAGGCATGAGCATCTCTGAAATTTTATTTCTAAAACAAATTCACTTTATATCATCATACTTCTCCTACTGTCATTGCAGAATTCATTCGCCTAACGTCGCATGGTTCGATGATTATTATTTCTCACTGAATCCACAAACAAATGTTCTCAATCCTTGGTTCCGCGAGTTTTGGCAAGAAAAATTCAAGTGCCAGTTTACGATACCGAAAGACGACTTGGTCACGAGAGTGTGTACTGGTAACGAAAACCTCACTCTGAATTACAAACAAGTGAGTGAGGGCTCGATTTACAGTTCTTTCATTATCATATTTCTTATGTTGAAAATGTATTTTGCAATTTCCGATGATAATGCTACCCTTATGACGAAACGTTTTTCTGATTGTGAGTTATGATTGTTCCTTTTGAGTTGAAAATATATTTTTTCTAGTGATCTTTCTGGAACATTTACAAGCACTTTCTCAGAACAAATTATTTTTTGTGCTCTATTAAATTCGGTCGGTGGATCTGTCTTGATCTTCGTAATACATTTATCATGCATATCACGGTTCTGTTAAGATTGCGTTTCATTGAGGATTTGGTGAGTTTCGTGATATAGACGAGCAGGTTGTATCGATGAGGTGTAATTTCTGTTTGCAAGGGTTCTCGGCTTTGGAATTTCGATCCCAGGATTTAATTTCCACCCGGGGATTGAGAAACAATCCCGAGATTCAATCCCAATCTCGGGATTGAACAATAGACGGAAGTTCGCAAATACCAATTATGTTCATTGTACTGCGGCTGTTCAAGATCATCACTCTGGACTTGTGTTGATAATAACTGTTTTGGATTGCTTGCATATGTCTATTTAAGAAACGATCTCAGTGGTGGGCAATAGCTAATTGTTTCGGTGGCGCGATACCGCACTACTTTTTCTATATAACGGGAGTCAGTAGTGAAAATTTCTGCTACAATACTCTCTTAGCCACATAAAGCAATGATTTCCGTTATTTTCATTCGTTAGCGTTTCAGCAGGCTACTTTTCATCTGCAAAGAAATACTTATTTTTTCCAACATTAAGATGTTTAAAATACATGGTCTAGTACTGACAAATGCTAAATTCGAAAATACCATGATCGTACGAACTTGTACTAGCAGCTCGAACTTGAATATTCAGTCACACCTCGAATGCTTGCTGCAAGTGCATCACTAGCAACATTCCGTCTGAGCTCTCTAAAGTGTATGACTTCAAATAGGTTACTTTGTGACGCTTTCTTCAGTTCCCTTCTCGCTAGAAAAAGGCATATTTATTTATTTGTTAAGTCGGCAATTACAACTCATTACGAGTTTATGGCTGTGCAGCGAACATTCTTCCTCGCTTGACATCCTTCTTTCCGCCCAGCGAACGGTAATAGTGCTGGGGATCATTTGTAAGTTCGATTATTGTTTTAGCAAAAACAAAGGTATTGATTTTCTAGGGAGAGGGGAACAAAAAGAGTCTGAAAATACGCTCCACTTGATCAATTCAAATTTTTATGTTAAAGATATAATGAGAGCCAAACCACTCTCGGGCGAGATGCTTGATGTTTCTGAAAGGGAATGAGGTGTAGTGTGGGCTATTACCATTTGATTGTTCTCCATTTTTGAATTTTGCTGTCGTCACTTGGTTATTTTCTTTTATTGTTTATTAATTGATGTTTAAATGACTGAATCAAAGTTTTGAGCTGTGTAATGCCATATTGAGGTTTTTTTCCGGACAAAATCAGCAGTACGACTAAAAACTTTAAAGGAAAAGTTAAAAATAGCGATAAAAGTTACTTTGCTGAGTAACATTTTAGCGAAAACCACCGCTGGTTTTATGGAATAACGACGTTTTTGGCGGAGAGTTTTCTCTATTTTTTTCGTCAGGTCGCAACTAGCGAATTATTTTGAGCAGAACAAGAATACTTTTTTGTAGCAAATCAGCGATTAGCGAAGCTTCTTTTTTTAATGACGTGTCTATAAGCGAATTGCCCTTGATGCAGATTGATGCAAAGTTTATACAACTATTTCAGGATGCAAAACTAAGTCAAGTAGTGAATTCGATTCGTGTCGTTGGTCATGCACTTCTAGCGATGTACAATGATCGATGCCGTGATAATACAACAATATGTACGGAAATGTTGGCTATTAATGGAACACTTCTTTATCGATACATGATAAATGTAACCTTCATCGATCAATTTCAGCAGGAAATGTATTTTGACAACAATGGTGATCCACCAGCATGGTACTATCATTCATATTCAGCTTCTTATGATTGGCCAAAACGAAATTCCATTAGTGCATTGCAATTCTTCTAAAGACCTTGTTTCTGATGCAGTTTGGCAGTCAGTAAAACAAATCGAAGTTGTTAATGATGGTTATTGTTAGTGATATTTGCGAATCGCCTCTACTGAAAGCAACATGTTTTGTTTCAATAATTCATTCTGATTTGAAAGAGAATGTAATTTGCTTTCAGGTATGACATATTAAATTATGTGGGGGGTGAGGATGGATTCCGAACAGTCGGAGATTTTCGACAGAAGCGGCACGGTGATTATAGACTAGAAATATTTGTGGATAATATCATGTTCTACGACAAGAGCAGCAACGTGCCAGAATCTGTTTGCAGCAAACCGTGTAGAGTGGGTCAACGAGTTAGCACACATTTCAACATTATTTTCCATTCATCTAAAGCTCAACTGAGGAATTCTCATTTTACAAGCTGAAGTTTCAGCAACGCGGAACGATTGCATGTTGTTGGATCTGTGAGAACTGTTTGGCGCATCAAATTGTTAATTACGCGACAAATTCTTGTCAGAATTGTACTCTTGGGTTATGGCCGGATGATAATCGAACAAGTTCGTTTTCAAGCCGATTTCATTCGATTCAGAGCATTTGAATCATATGTTAACCGTAAATTTTGCTACAAATGATGCACATGCATTTCATCAAAATTTGCTTTCATTCACTCTATTTCATTAGAATCAATCCAACAAGCATGTCTGATTGCACAGCGTAGATTTTTCAACCCTTATGCTTAGAGGCAACTGGAATCAGTGCCTGAGTGAAATACTGAGTTGACTTAAATTATTCGGTGAATAAAGTTAAACGAGTTGTCCTCTTCAAGGCTGTCATGCTTTACCTCATGAAGCGCCGTCGTGGTCGTCTACTGGAATCGCTCTGGCCTTAGCATTAGCATCTGTAGGTATCATCGCAACACTGCTAACAATTCTTGTTTTCGTACAGCACAATCATACACCAGTCGTCAAATCAACTACTCGTGAACTTTCTTATATCATTCTTAGTGGTAACATCTTTATTTTATTCACATCATCTCACCTCCATTTGCATTGAAACTCCATGCACATTTGTTTTTTATATTGACTTCATCGATCTATTAATACAGTGGTTCTCATAGGGGGTGAAGTGACCCATTTTGGGTAATTTAGAGATTTCAAGGGCTAATGGAGGGGGTTGAGAAATTAGTATTTCGTGCAGTTGTTATTTTATGATAGAACGCCATTGTGATGGTGTTTTTTAACTTGGGTATGTAAATGCGGTCAGTTGATGGCAACACTCTTCATTCTCCTATTTACTGAGTATATTAGCTCGTACGGTCCTAACAAGGTTTCCGTTTGTTTTAACAGGGTTTGCATTCCTTTCCTTGCTGCTGCAATCGCTCTCATAGCTTTTATTGCCAAAAAATGTTCTCTTTTGCTAATTTCTCATTCATTAAACTCAACAATTAAAGTCAAATTCTCATTCTATCAAATACACTCTATAATTGATCATTTGACTGTCGAATGTTGTTGAGCAACATTATTCGATTGCTGTATTGTTGATTTCGGCTGTCAACACTCGTCAACGCATCCAGTAAATAGTACATGCTACAGAATAAGAAGTTGATTCGAACTGTGAAGTGAAATGGAACGAAGTGAATGAGGAAAACTCATCAAGAGAACGGGATTCGCATGTAATAGCTATGAGAGTGAATACAACACGTCTGAAAAGAATCTAAATCAGTTTGAAGTAAGCATGTGATAGACAATAGCTTTTCATGCAATCATAATCGATAGGGGGGGGGGGGGGGGGGNGGGGGGGGGGGGGGGGGGGGGGGGGGGGGTAACGGTGGCCTGCCAGATCATGAGAAGGGGAAATAGAACAGCCGAACGTGAGAACCACTGTACTGATGGATAATATTCCTTTGGCTTATAATTAGACAAAAAAGCGTCGTGAATGTACCCAATATTCGATATGCCATCGATTGTCTAAAGTAATGTTCAGGTATAATGGCTTGTTACGCAATAAGTTTCGCAATCCTCACACGACCGTCTTTTACGAGTTGCTTCTTAACACGAACTGTGCCTCCGATTGCTTTTTCGATCATCTATTCAGCGCTGCTCACCAAGACCAATCGAATTGCACGCATTCTTGCGGGTAGCAAGAAACGAATTCTAACAAAAAAGCCTCGATTTCTCAGCACATCCTCACAGGTTCGTCTATCACAGTGTTATTCTCGAGAAATAGCCAACGATCCAGCTGATCTTTTGAGGCGTTTGGCCTTTCAGGTGGTAATAACATGGATGTTAGTGGGAATCGAATGCGTCATCGTGGCTGTTGGTGTTATGGAAGAAATGCCTCAGGCTGGCTTCGATCCTTACTATTTACCACGTCGGATGGTGCTTATTTGCTCAACTACGACTTTCGCTTTTCTTTCACCGTTCTTTTGGAACCTCTTTCTCATCTCACTATGCACCCTGTATGCGGTCAAAACACGCAATTTACCCGAAAACTTCAACGAAGCGAAATTCATTGGATTCACTATGTATGCACTTTTTTTTTACCTGATGTCTTTGTTCTTCGGTTTTGTTGTAACTGGTTTCATTATTCGATATAACGATGAAACATGGAACATCACTTAATTATTATACCGTTACAAGAAATACATGAAAATCACTTAATTGTTATGCCGCAAAGAAATTTTCTTATTGAATTGGATTCCATCAAAAGATGGCATCCAATTGGAATCAACAATCACGCAAATGACTGCAGAAAAACTTGATGCAGACAGTCAGTTATCCATACTGAGCATCAAAAGCCTTTGACATTTCGAGTAAATTGTTAAAGGAGACCAGCAAACAATAGTTTGCCGGATCAACTATCTCATGAATGAATCGATATATCATTTTGAGGTACTGCACATTGGTCGTTTGGTCAGCGTTCATTGTGCTGCATTTGGGAACGACAAACAAAGCACTTACGATGAGCTTTTCATTCAGTCTTTCAGCGAGTGTCGCTCTTATATTATTGTTCTTCCCGAAACTGTATATTATTTTATTCCATCCAGAAAAGAACGTTCGAGCAAGTTATACAACAACCAAACTGATCAGATGTCATTTCGGTAATTCACAAGGGATGGATAGTAAACACGTTTCAATATCAAAAACGAGAACCAGTCAACAATCCGTTTCAAGGTGTGTCTTCTTATATCGGTTTTTGCCAAGTCGTTGGGCCTCATGTACCGATTGGTTATGTGACGGAAAGTACACCGATTGGTTATATGACGGAAAGTACTTTCACTCCCCCTAAACGGTCGTTTATGTTGACGTATGCATCGCTCATACCGACCAACAACGCTTTAGCGTAACAATTTGCCAGTCACCTCAGATCCTTCACCCTGACACCCTGAAACTCTTCCTTGCGAAAATTCACAAATTCGGTTAATGAAATAGATCCTCGTTCGTTCCGAGTCAGTAAGTGAATTTCATTTAACAGATTTCCGCTATAATTTCATGAATGTTTTTATTTTGTGATGATGAAATGAACCGAATAGATTGTTTAATGAGGAATTCAGCAAAAGTTTCAGCTACCCGACGCGGACAGCATCTGTACATATAAGCCAGAGTGCATCGCAAGATGCGTCAACGCAGACGGAATCTTTGAACTTGTCATCCAAATTCTCAAGAACATTTTCGGTTCTTGGAACAAAGAGAGGAAATAGGGCAATGGATGAAGAGGTCCTGCAGTTGATTGATTCATGCAGACGATACCAGGTCACTTTTAAAAACATTTCCATTCTTTGTGAACATTTTTGAAAATATTTACAAGATCATAGCAATGGATCCATTGAAATGATCAAAAATTGACACATTACTTCAGAAGGAATTTTGATGAATTAGTGAATAAATAATTAATGAAATGAATAAATGCTTGTTGTGTTTGAGGACGAGAGAATGCAAGGTCCAGTCTCGAATTTGTTACTTGAAGAAAGGGAAGACGATGAAGTCGGAAGTCTACTGGCTGGTTCGATTGAGGATTCAATGAGAACAGTACTTAGTACTGTAACGAGGGGGTCTGTTAATGAGCCCGCTGTTTTGCCAGATGATGGCTTCGAACAGGTGTGTTCAAAAAATAATTTCGGTTTGCAATATATATATGTTTTGCAGTCTGTAGTTTTCAACTTCGTGTTTTCTTTTTTTATACATCCATCAAATTCATCATATAATGATATTATATACTGGAACAAATAATATTCTCAATGAATGCCTCGCAACGAAAGGAGATATGACTCTTGTGAACTGTTCCCACAAAGATTTTTATAAAGATTATCAGACTTTCCTTAGATCTTACCTGATTAACCTAAAAATGTGAGATTCTTTCAATGAATTAACTTCAGCTGCTAAAAAGTCGTGGTGTACAACCGGTGCAATTCACCATTGCCACTCCGTTATAACATCTTCATTGGATTGTTTACCATCGTCTAACAAACAATTTCCCTCGTTTGTGCCTTCTGGGTTCGTCGATCCGTGTGCATTCGCTTCCATTTTCGGACATATTCTGTTCAGTGATTTCATCTTCGATTACAACCGATATTGACTGTTGCATGATCATCGAAAATGCTCATTGAACTAATTCGGCAACAAATTTCACAGAATATTATGGAAGCCATAATAAAACTATATTTTTCTCTCAAGTATTCTTTCGTATGCGGGTGGTCAAATAGTTCGCGGAAATTCTTCTCCCAAGATATGCTGTACAGCAACAGGTTAAATTATAACGGTTGTTAATACTCAGCTTGTTACACACACTTCCCCTGAGGATGTTCTCAATCGTTCAATTCACTTGCGAAGTAATTCTGATCCTTCAAACGAAACCGTGTTAAAGCGGCTTGTTTCATTTCATCTATAGACCCGAATCGCATTCTTTTCGAGAATATTTTTTCATCTGTGGGAACAAAAAGAAATCAGATGAAGCAAGATCAGGGCTGTATGGTAAATATAGCAAAGTTTATCAACGAAATTCAAGAAGTATAGCTCTCGCAACTTGTGATGTGTGTGTGTGGGTGGGTTGTTGTGATGGAACATGATTCCATGATGTAGCTTTACTCTTCTTTTTGCAACAGTATTGTGCTGCAGTTCATGGGAAACATGCGCATAATATGCACCTATTGTTGTGTTAGTTTTTTCTAGAAAATCTACGAGGTCACTCCTTACGAGTCTCAAAAAACTGTTGCCATGACTTTCTTTCGAGACTTTACGGCGTTGACCTTGAATGGCCCGCTGATCCCCTAAGAAGCAAACCACTGTTTGGATTGTGTTTTGGTTCCGGGACAATACGTGCAGATCCAAGTTAAATGACCCTCGTTGCATGAAATCTACTTCATCATTCTCTGTATTTCATCACTGTGCTCACTAAGAATATAGTGAGTCAAAAAGTAAGTTTGTGAATTGATATTTATTTATTCGATGGAAGAACTGAAAGAACGATTGACGCTGTTTCATGGGTGGTCTGCAATATGGTATAGCTCCTTTATTGGACTGTAAATGAACAAATCTTGTGTTGTACCTGTAACTAATTCTGAAATAATCATGGAACATATTCATCGTTAGTTGCAAAGAAAGATTAGCATAAACAAACACATTAGCAGCATAAATGAAGGGAATTAACTGAGTCGAGCTTAATTTCAATGTGATGAAAACATATAAGATGGAAACATATTTATGATAAATTTACATTTCGAGAGTATCGAAGACGACTCTCGAAAAAATGCACGTTCATTTGTCTGCGAATGCAACGAACAATAGTTCGATGTTTTCTTATCATCAGTGTGCGACATTGCTAACAGTTTGATAACTTCCCCGAATAATTAATCAGTTATGTGATGTGCTGTTAGTTGCATCCTTTTTTCGTGCTTGTCTATAGATCAGAGATATTGCACCAATTTTACGGATTAAAAATATTTTGCTTCGTTAAGATGATTATTGGAAGTAGGTTCAGCTACTGTTCATTAATTTTTATAAGTGTTCGGTAAATAAATGAGTGCTCTTTGAAAATTTGTTTGTTTGGAACGATTATCGTTTAAGTGCATGGATGATGTACATGATAAGACTACCGAAAAAATACGCATTTTTGTGAATATCAGTGTATATATGTTTTGTATGCACTTCTTTTAGAGCACAAATAATTTGTTAGGTGCTGCTCTGTGCCAGGTACGCGCTTATCATTAGTGCTTATCGATGCTAACACAACACCATAGTAATATTCGAATTATCTGAAACACCTACCTATCGATTCACACGGTGATGTTCTTGTAAACAACAGTTGGTCACTCCGTGGCAAAATCAGTGTGAAGTGCATGGATTTGAAAAAAAAAAGAAATCTATGCGATAGCATTTATTTACAAAGCCTAAACTAATATTTATATGATTGTGGATATGAAGAAGTAATCGCTTCGGAGTGCACGTCATTAACAGACGCGAAACTAGGCTCGTAATAAGCTAATCGCGTCTGTAGAGAATGCAGCATTTGCTTAAGACATCGCACTTGATTTCTCAGCATCATATTGTCCGCTTCCAGTTGAAGTTGATTTTGGATCCTTCTGATGCGACAGTTGAATGCATAACCTCGGTTCTTTAATGTTCTTCGCTTCTGTTTGAGGGCTGTTACAATTTGTCGGTTTTGACCCTGCAACATTATCCAGTGATCGATATTCAGTTGCACTCTGACGTTGAACAGATTGGAAAGAATCTGGTGTGAAAGGTTCACTTTAGGGTGAAAAATTTTGTGAGCAATTGTGTGAATGCATACATTTTACCACTTATGAATGCAAATTTCGGATATGCGAAATCAGTTCATTTGAAAGCAAAGAATTAAGTGGAGCAGTCAGAGTTGAGGCATCAATACGATAGCTGACAGTACAGAATGAATCAAAAACTTTTAAGCATGACATTTTGTTGTAGTAAAATGTTCAACTTCAACTGATATTCTAATGGTAATTTTGAAAAGTGCGCTCTTTCAATGCAAAGTATTGCGAAATTGATCTCATCAAACTGAACTCATGCAGAACACGTATTTATCTATCGAGCATGAATAAGAATTTATGCACTTAAAACGAACAGCATGGAAAACATTTACGCCAGTTGATATATACTGGCCACAGAAATGTTTGCTGTCTGAAACTCCTCAATTTCTCTTTCTTATTGTAAGAATAAGTTTTGAGTAGGAAATTCATTACCTGAAGACGTTGATTGAGCTGTCGAACAGTGAGATTAGCCAACTCTTCATCTGAGATATTCGGGAGTTGTAAAGAGGAAGTTGAGGAGGAACTCGAAAGTGATGGTGAAGATGCCTTAATGAATGCAGTCTGAACGAATGGCGAATGATTTTCGAGCGACGTTGATGGAGAATTGTGTTGGATAAACGGGGAACTAACTGAATAGGAAGTTGTTGAAGTCATATAGGTTACTCCCTTTAATGCTTCTTCGCAATTTGTATTCATTTTTGAGATATGTTCCATGTAAAATTTTCAATTAAAACTATGACTTTATGAATATCATTTGATTATGCAACACTTCAAATAAACACCTTCAACAACCAACTGCAGAAACCACGCCTTCGTCATCTGCCTATCAAATAATGAAGTGAAGAAAAATACCACGTAAAAAAAGCAATAACATAGCTGTTAAAAACAAAACCGCAGCATGACGTAACATTGCTTTCAATTCAAATTTGCACGGAAAATGATTGATCGTTAAAGGAAGAACATGTTGGCGAAATTAACCGATCACTTGAAATTAGTGAACGCGGAAACCAATTGAATGCACGCTTTTTTCTCGTCTCATGACCCAGGATGCGTCCATCAGTTTCACTTATCACATGGTGAGCCAAGAAATAATAGCAGACATCCGTGCTTTAATCATAATGAGCGCTACTAGAAATGCTCGCGCAATATCATTGACCGATAATGCTTCATAATATTGTTTCATTTCGAATTTATCAGCCAGTAAAATATTCCTCTGGTATGCAAATGAAAATAGTTTTCAGTCCCATCTACTTCCTAGAATCATCAGTACAAATCAGCAATCCACTCTTTCACTGCAGGAAAATGAAACCTAATCTGCGATAAATTTTGCAATTTAGCTTCCAATTGCTCATCCATTCACTATGGAAGACGCTGAGGGATACCGAGAAGTTTGAGGTACAATCTTCGCTTGAGGTGCTGAAACGTGGACCTTAATCCATAAAGAAATACGCAAGCACTCAAACTACTAACGCTTGTATCAAGCAAAACTATTGTTTTCCTGAGCGTCAAATTTATTTCATGTGAACAGATCAACTCTCGTCGTAAGATAGTCAATGAATAACACTCATTCATTTCGCATACTGAAGCTGTTTAATGTTTGTGTTTGACCTGTCAAACACAAACATAAAAATTTATCGAATTGGTGATTGATATATATGAGCTTTATTAATGAAGACAGACATATCAGTATAGCAATA